GGCCACCTGGGCACCCTGCCGGCTCATGTTCAGCCGGCTGTCAACCAGCACCCCCAGGTTCTTTTCCGACAGGCAAAGGACTTTCCTTTTCCAACCGTCCCACCCCACAGTGAGGACGGAAAACCATCCACACTCCCGGCAGGAGCGGGGATTTACTGCAGCGAGAGCCTGGGGCTGCGCTGGTGCCCCCATAAGCGGATTACACACCCAGCTGTGCGCAAGCCGGCACTCGGCGCCGGGGCTATCACCGGCCCAGCAGCTCCAGTGAGGTGGCACTCGCGCTGCCCTGTCCCCACCTGTCATGCTGCATCGCACCTTCCCCGCACGGTGACAGCCCGAGGGTTGTGGCACAGCGGGGCACGGGGACAGCGGGCAAAGCCTGAGCTGGGAAAGCCACCGGCTGCCCGTTAGCATCTTTCTGCCTGGCACCACGTTCCCATGGGATGTGTTTTCCCGGCCTGTTTCTGCAGGGAAAAGGAAGGCAACATCCTGGCGATGTGCTGTCCCCATACCCAGGCTGGCCGAGGCGTCCCCAGCCTCCCTAAAGGTGGCATCCAGATGTGCCACCCATGGCATAGCACGCGCCACTCCACTGCAGCGTGACGGCCGAGCATCCGAGACACAAACAACCTGTCTCAAAGGCACAAGCCCCACGTGGGACAAGGGCACAGTGGCCCCCGCCGAAGCCCAGCTTTGCCGGGACCAGCCCGGGGAGCCCGGCTCTTCCCCAGGGCAGCCAGCACCTGGGCTGCGCCTGCTCCGACCTGCCTCCAGATGCACAGGACGCTCCCGCCGGCGTGCTGTAATCACAGTTTCTTCCCCCCCAGCTCTCCCCTCCCACCCCGCTGGCAGCATCCCAGTTGGGATGAGTTTGAAACTGAGTTTTCCAACAGCTTTAACAGGGGCAGGGTGCTGGGCACCCTGTGGATGCAGGGGCAGGCGGCGGCACGGGTCACCCAGTCTGGGCAGGGTGTCAGCACCAGGCGGGCGAGCACACGGGACGAGAGCCTTTCTGACACATCCCTCAGTGCAGCAGCTCCAGCCCCTTTCCTGCAGGGAATCCTCCAGCTTGAAGGACCTGCGAGTGCCCGCATGGGGACCCCGGGATGGGACCATGCGCGGTGGCTCCCTGCGAGCCGGGAAGTGACAGTTTCCCGGGACCTGTCCGGGCTGGAAAGAAGGCGGCGTCTCAGCACGTGGGGGTGGGGGGCCTGCGAGTGCCCGCATGGGGCCCCCGGGATGGGACCATGCGCGGTGGCTCCCTGCGAGCCGGGAAGTGATAGTTTCCCGGGACCTGTCCGGGCTGGAAAGAAGGCGGCGTCTCAGCACGTGGGGATGGGCGAGAAGATCCAGCCCACTAAGAGCCAGGAGCAGAGGTCGAGGGGGACCACTGCTCATCCCGCTTCTCTGGGCGAGCCATGGACCACTTTGGGGACAGAGGGATATGTCACCAGCGTCAGGGGGCATCGGCTCCACCTCCATGGGTCCTTCTGGATGCACCCACACACGCCTCCAGCCCCAGCTCACCCCACATGCATGAACAAGAGAGCCCAGCTCCTCCCTGGTACCCAGCTGCCGCTGTTGTCCTCCCCCCCAGATGTTTCCAAGCCTGGATCTGTCCATCCCCAAAGCCACATTTTGGAGCCTTTCGGGAAGGCACTCGCTGGAGCCAGTTGCGACATGCTCCACCAGCCACCCTCCTATCTGGTTTCACTGCATCCCGCTCCGGAGGAATGTGCCGGTCCTGTTCCCACGGCGGCTGCCGGGGAAGGACGGCCGCGATTGTCCCCACCAAGGGCGGTTGTCCAAGCAGCCGCAACCCTGGTGCTATGCAAGCCATGGCCACGACCCTCCATCTTCATCCCCACCCTGGGCATGGCGAGTGCCTCGAGGTCCCCATGGGGACGTGGCCCTGACGAGTGACTCCTGGTGACTTGCCACCACCCAAGAGGGGTGAGGCAGGACAAGCGATGCAGGACAGGCTCCCGCCGAGCTGAGAAGGCTGTTGGCGGCTCCGGACCTTGCCGGTAACTGCAGAGACGGCTCCAAAGTGCAGCTAGGCTCCAGGCGTGCGCGACGGTCCCCGCAGGAGGGCCTGGCCAGCCTGGCAGCGCCACCGGGACCGCAGCCCGGGGGACCCGCCAAAGGCACGGCTGGGTGACCGATGCTCCGCCCGGAGCCACCCGAGAGCAGCCCCCCCCCCCCCCAC